GTGGTCTCTGTGCTTCACACCCATGGGAGATTAGCGAACAGTGGCCTACCTGGAGGAGGGTGCTGGTAGGTCCTTTACTGCATAGCCGAAGATAGAATGTGACGTCCCATGCTGGTATTGGTGTTCTTACGGACGTCTAGGGCGTAGTGCCTAATGAAGGTGTTAGGCGTGGCCCATGTAGCGGCTCTGCAAATGTCCGTCAGCGGCACTCCCTGGAGGAAGGCAGTGGAAGTCGCAACAGCTCTGGTGGTATGAGCCCTGATAGGGCCAGGCAATGGATGTTTGGCGATCAGGTAACATAGACGGATGAGACCCACAATCCACTTTGACAGGCGCTGAGCCATGACGCGAGTACCCAGCCGTGCTGACGCGTAAGAGACGAACAGTTGCGAGCCTCGTCTAGTTGGGTGTGTTCTATTGAGGTAGAACAGGAGAGCCCGCTTAACATCTAAAGTGTGAAATAATTTGTCCTCCGCTGATGCCGGATTAGGGAAGAAATCAGGGAGGAAGACCTCCACCTGCAGGTGGAACTCTGACACCACCTTCGGCAGGAAGGAGATATCTGGTACGAGGTGGATTCCGTCTGGCAGAAAGGACAGGTAAGGTGTATCGTGCCGGAAAGTCAATATTTCTCCCACTCGTCTAGCCAAGGTGACAGCAATTAAAAAGGCTGTTTTCCATGCTAGAAGTTTGAGGTTGCATGTTGCAAGCGGCTCAAAGGGCTTTCTCATGAGCTGGCGGAGAACTAGAGGAAGGTCCCAGGGAGCGACTGGAGTTTTGACAGGAGGGTAGAGATGCAATAAACCTTTTAAAAAACATTTTGAAATCGGATGGGAAAACAAAGTGCATCCGTCAACTGGAACATGGTAGGCTGAAAGAGCGGCCAAATAAACTCTCAACAATGAATGGGAAAGTCCCGAGTCAGCTAGGGAGAGAAGGAATTGGAAAACTCTTTCGAGACCCACTGAGGTGGCTCAAGGGGCGTCATCACCTAGGGAAGAACAGAACCTTTGCCTTTATAATTGTAGGACCTCCGCATAGTAAATTTCCTGGAATTCAACAGAATGGTCACTAGGCGGATGGAGAAGCCGATGACGTTATTCTCCATGCCGTCAGTTTCAATTGTGGTATGTCGTGACGTAGGAGAGGGGAGTCGGAGAGGAGGAGGAGGTCCTGAGTCAGAGGGAATTGATGGTATATCCCTTCTGATAACTCGAGGACTGTTGAAAACCAAGGTTGTCTCAGCCACCATGGAGTTATTAAGATGCAGTCCACAGCGTCTCTTAGTATTTTGCAGACCACTCTCAGAAGCAGAGGTAAGGGAGGGAACAGGTAAAGAAGTCCTGTGGACCAAGGGTATAGGAGACCGTCTCCCAGAGATTGTGGGTCCCTGCCTCCTTGACTGCAGAACAGAGGACACCTTTTGTTGTTTCTGATGGCAAAGACATCGACTTGGGGAGCTCCCCACTTGTGGAAGAGTGGGGGAAGGTATGTTGGGTTCATCCCCCAATTGTGAAGGCTGAGTCCTGTTCGACTTAGATGGTCTGCCTGCACATTCATGTGTCCGGGAATGTGAGTGGCTACGAGGAAAATGTTGTTGGCGATGCAAAGCTCCCACAACTGAATGGCAAGGTTGCAGAGGCATAGGGAAACAGTGCCTCCCTGTCTGTTGACATAAGAAAGCGCCATGGTGTTGTCCGTGAGGACTGTGACACATTTTCCCTTGATTAAAGGTAGGAAGCTGGTGACAGCGTGTTGTATAGCCAGGAGTTCTAGGAAGTTCATGTGCTGCTTCCTCATCTGCGCGTCCCATTTGTCTCCAACAGAGAGGCCCATGGAGTGCGCACCCCATCCTGTCAGGGAAGCATCCGTCGTTATGGTGACTTCGGGTGACGTAGGGTGGATGGGTGCTCCCTGGAAAATATTCGAAGGGACAGTCCACCAAAGTAAGAGTCCCGTAGGCTGGGAAGAGGGGATAGGAGGATGGTGTGTGCGTTTTTTGACAGGTCATAGTTGCGGATAAACCAGAGCTGTAAAGGACGCATTTTGAGTCTGGCAAAGACGAGAACCGACATAGTTGCAGCCATCAGGCCAAGCAGCCTCTGAATTTGGAAGGCAGTGACGGAGGCTTGGGTACGGATGACGGTGGCTAAGGAAATGATATCTGCCGCCCTGTCGTGGGGCAGGTAAGCCATGCATGTCATGGAATCCAGTATAGCGCCGATGTACTGTATTCTCTGGACTGGACACAATTGAGACTTTTGCCGATTGACTTGTAGGCCCAGATTCTCCAAGAGTGTCAGAGTCTCTATGACGTTTGAGACCAGGGCATTCTTGGAAGGCGCTACCAGAAGCCAATCGTCGATTTATGGGTAGATGGAGACACCCTGGAGACGGAGGAAAGCTGCAACCACAATCATAGTCTTTGTGAAGACTCTTGGGGTGCTGGACAGGCCGAATGGAAGGGCCGTATACTGGTAATGCTGTTGACCAATCGCAAAGTGTAGGTATTGGCGGTGGGAGGGGTAGATGGTAAGGTGGAAGTACGCGTCTTGGAGGTCAAGGGTGGCCATCCAGACGTGTCTCCGAAGCAATGGCATGATCTGTTGTAGGGACACCATGCGGAAGCGGTGGTAGGTCACAAAATGGTTCAGTTCCCTTAGATCTAATAAGGGTTGAACGCCTCCATCTCGCTTCGGGACTGTGAAGTATCAGGAATAAAACCCCGTCCCGTGGAGGTGTGGTGGTACATGTTCAATGGCTCCCTTCTGCAAAAGGACGGATACCTCTAGGAGAGATGGGGAAGGGGACGTGGAGACGACGACAGGAGTATTGGGGTTCTGGTGGAAGTGGATTCGGTAGCCTCGGGTCAAGTGGCCTTGACTCCCAATGCTCCTGTGGAGTAGAAGCGTCTGCCAAAGGCATCCAATTTCTTACCTTCCTTGTCAGAAGGTGCGGAGTGGATTTAGAGGAATGGATTTAGAGAAAGATGTTATCACCATCAAGTTTGGCTGAGGGTGCGAGAATAGGAATTCGGCATCTGCCTCTTGGACCCTATACATGTGGTCCAGTCGTCTCGTGGACACTGGGGCTGACGAGGGTTTTAGCCATGGTGCCTTTGCTGCCTGCAAAAGGACTGAAGACATGGGCAATGCCAAGGTGGAAGAGGTATCAAGCGGGACTATATCAAAAACGGCATCCGTTGCCTGTGGATGTTGCTGGACTACAGAGAGGCCTAAAGAGTGGGCCATTCGTTTGATTAAATCTGTGTATGACATAAGGTTGTCGGATGGGGATATGGGTGGGTCCTCAGCGACATCCTGGTTGGGAGATTTATGGTCAGGAGAGGTATGAGCCTCAGATGCTTCCGTATCCGAGTCGTCTTCCATGGAGTCAGAGGAGTCTTGGTGTGGTATTTGGACCGAAGTGTCCTCTTGACAAGCTATAGGTTTTGGTGGAACAACAGGGCTTGGAGTGACCTGCGGGTTGGGAGGACGACTTGGTTCCAGACTATGGTGGGAAGGATCATCTGCAGGAGGACAAGACAGAGATGCCAAAGGTCTCGACTTGTGGGGCGACCTCGATCTATGAACAGAGTGGGACGAATAGCGATCCCAATCAGAATAGCCCGCCAGAGTCAACCACGGCATGGATGGTGGATAAGCCCCGTAACAGGTACCTCAACTGTCGTTGATCCCAAGATATCGGTGGTGGAGGGGGCAGGAAGACTCGCAGGGATCTACTTCTGGACCGTGGACGTCTGGGAGACAAAGCAATAGCCTGTCTGTGAGAACTGTCTCTGTAGTCGATATCGACAGATTGGACATGGAGACGCGGAGGATGACACTGCGTACTGCAAGAAGCGTGTCGGTACCGACGTGTTTCGACATCGGGAGCCTCCGATATCATCAATGCCAATGAAGTAGAAGGAGAGGGAGAAGACTCAGCACCCATTTGGTGACTTAGGAGCTCTACCGTCTCGATGTCGGAGTAAGGGCGCTCCACTTGTTGGATGGGGGAATCCAATAGTTGGATGGTCGGTATCGGTGGAGGGAGTTGGGCCTCCGATATCGATACTGCCGTTGGAGCGGAGGCACTTTAGGGGCATCACCCAGTGCAGGCACCATTTCCTTCCCCTTCTTTGCCGCCTTAAGGAACGTTGAAGTGCCCTTCCTCGCAGACTTGTGATCCTTACTTGCCTTGGCCGCCTTTTTGATTGGCGTGGATGCCGGGAGCTTCGGTGTCGAGCGGTCGGCATCGAAGGCAGGTGTCAATGCTGGAGCTGTCGATGTTGATGGTATCTCCTCCATCGCTGAGGTAGGAGTAAGGGCCGATTCAAGCAGCGCTACTTTAAGGCGCGCAGCTCGGTTTTTCCGTGTTTGATTACAAAAACGAGCACAGTGACGACAGGACTCTGGCCGGTGAGACTCTGCGAGACAAAAAATGCACAGGGTATGAAGGTCGGGAGGAGCAAGTTTGCTGCCGCAACCCTTGCACCTATTGAAAAAACCAACTTCTTCTCCATAAAAGAAAGCAAAGAGGGGACGTTCGAGGGGGGGGAATAGCCCGAAGGCCTGAGGTAACTGGTAGACTCCCCCTCAACAGAAATAAATGGGTTGTTTTTTTAAGAACAAATAAAAAGAGAAAAGAAAATTAAAATAAGGAAATAATTCCTAAGAGCTGAGGCGAATAGCCAAAAGCGAACCGATCTGACCGACGAAAAATAGGTCTACTCAATGCAGCGGTAAGAAAGGAACTGGCGGGATGTCCGCGCCCACCCCTCTGGGCATGCGCGGTGGGGTTCCTGCGCATGCCCGAGGGACTGGGCGTAAAAATCCGTTAAAAGAGCTTGCTACAGCACCGATCGATCCAGCGCATGCGCACTAGATCCCATGGGTGTGAAGCACAGACACCACGTCGAAGATAGAAATGTTATTTCGGGAGGTGGCTTACCTTCCAGCATACAAATAACAACTAGATATGTAGAACTTTTGAATTACCTGTTTCTTCAGTTCTTCCAATTTACGTTGTCTTGCATGAAAAGCTTTGCTTGGAAAAGCCCAAAAGTAATTCGAAGTTCCAATCCTATCAGTGTCCACCATGCCATCATCGACTAAACTCTGTAAGACCTCTTTCACTGACATTGCAGCTGTCAAAGTCATGAACACCACATTTTATTTATGTGCCGCCTCTTCAAGTCCTGCTTGAGGCAGTTTACAGTTAACATTACCACAATGTTAAAAAAATAAGCCATTAAAAACAAATGATTGGACATAAGCAACATAAAGCTATCCATAAAACAGAAGCAGATCATTAAAAATGCTGATAAGATAAAAACCCCTAAGCCTGGGTAAAAAGATGTATTTTGGCCTGACATCTAAAAGAAAGTAAAGCAGGCACCAGATGAGCTTCAAGGGGGAAGGCGTTCCAAAGGCAAGTTGCCACCACAGAAAATCACCTGTCTCTAGTCATCACCCACCTCACCTCTGAAAGTAGGGTACAGAAGTCAGGGATTGAGAGGCAGATCTTAATTGATGAGCTGGACAGTATGGGAGAAGATGATCTTTCTGGTAACCTGGTCCCAAGCTATTTCGGGATTTAAAAGTACCAGCACTTTGAATTGCACCTGAAAACAGACAGGTAAGCAGTGCAGATCTTTCAGCATGGGGGGTGATATGATCACCCTAACCAGCCCCTGACAGTAGTCTGGCCACTGCATTTAGGACCAATTGAAGTTTCTGAATCATGTTCAAAGGCAGCTCCACATAGAGAGCACTACAGTAATCTAACTTGGATGTAATCAGAGCATGGATCACTATGGCCAGATAACACTTTTTGAGGAATGGCTGTAGGAAGTGAACCAGCTGGAAGTGATATAAGATTATATGTACCACGGTGCAGTTCCCCAGCACCACCTTCTGGAATTGTTTGGTCAAGTAAAAGCAGAACTACCAAAAGCACAGCGGCCCCTTCTCTGCCCAGCCAGCCTCTCCAGGATACCATGATCAATGGTACTGAAAACCACTGAGAGGTCCAGGACAATCAACAGGGATGCACTCCCCCTCTCAGTTTACCAAAGAAAGTCATAGGTTAGGGCAGCCAAGGTCGTTTCTGTGCTAAAGCCAGGCCTGAATCCAGATTAAAGTGTAAAATGAATCACCAGAGGATGCTGTGATGGCCAGAGCATAGTTTTAAGAGGTAATAAGAAAAATTCATAAAGGATAGGTCCATCATGATTACTAGTCATAGTGACAACTGAACCTCCATATGCAGTAAACCTATGAATACTGATGCTGGGAAGCAACACCAGGAAAAGACCTTGGACTCTATACCCCAGTTGGTTGGCCCTCCAGGGAACTGACTTGCCACTGAGTGAAACAAGATGCTGGGCTAGATGGACTACTGGTCTGATCCAGCAAGGCTGCTCTTAAGGGGATCAGCAAAAATTGTTCACTCTTCCTCAGCAGAAACATGCCGCAGGATTCAAACCATTATTTTTACATTATATCTATTTTATATGCATCCAGAATAGCAGAGTGACATAGTTAAGATATATTTACCAGGATATCTGACTCTTGGCATTTTTACAGCTCATCACCGAGGATAATTTTAAAAACTCAAAGATGAAGCACACAGATGCTTCACAAAATGAGAATTTATTTCTGCTTATCAATCTGGCAAATACCATATTATATTATACAGCTAAACATTCGTAAAGATTTAGATAACCTGCAGAGGACATAAGTTCCAAAATGGTGGGTCAATCACCAAAAATGTGTAGTTCTGTCATCCAAACCTGACACAACAGGTGATTTAACAAAGACAAGTATATTAATCTAATCTATTGTGAAAGGACATTAGTGCACAGATGATCTCTTTGATACATAGTACCTAAACAATTTCATGCAATGAACGTAGCAATCCAATTTTTAGGTTTTGTAAGCAGGTATCTATTACAGAGGTGGACATGGTGACCAACTTTTTTCACTTCACTTGATGAGAAGGAAAGCATTTTTCCACTTGTCCTCAGAAACAAAAATCTTGTATGTTGCAACTGGAAACATGGGCTCCAGCTCAGTAAAGCTTATGGCACAAGGTTAGTTAGTGTTTGAGGAGACACATGACTTGGGGAAAAACAAGCACTCACTTATTCCTTTCTCTTTGGGAGCAATTTTCTCAATATCCTTTAACTGGAACACATCTTTCTGGCAAAAAAAGAAAGACATCATTATAAACACACAATGACATCGAAAAGTAGAGAAATTAGCACTGCCTAGGACTCCTTCCTCTGCAAAGAGGACTTGTAGATTCAGGATGACAGCCATGAATCAAAAAAACACTTGAAATTTGCATGAGAAACTTCATGTAATCACCTTTCTGGTTTTCACAGGCACTGGCAGAATGGCTTGCCCTTTGATACATTTCAGATCTACACCCTTCTGGCAGCAGGGTGAATGTTCCAAGAGTTCTCCAGACCTGCTTCACTAATCTGTGTCATTATGTAGCCAAGAGTTAAATTCTCCTTCTTAGGCAAAAATTGATTGAAGATTCTAAACTACATGAACCTTCTAAATGTATCAAAAAAACTCTGTTTTGATTTTTCCTTTTCTTGTTTTGCCACATTTATCAAGTAACTTGTCAATGGTTCCATCCTTCTAATACTCCTGGCCTGTTGAACTGGTAGCAAGCAGCTGAGTATTCTGTTTTGATTTGCTTCAGAACTTTTTGAATCCACTCCCACACCAATGATTCACAGAGCACCTGTCACTGTATTCTTCACCCCAGTTCAACTTAACTAACACACCTCTAAATCTGCTTGCTCCTGTTTTCTCAGAGACACTGTGGAAGGTTCCATTTCTAAATACAGGTTTGAGCAGCCTGTATTATGGAATAGCTGAAAAGTACCTGATATATACAAATATCAGTAGGCATTATTGAAAATGGAAAACCAGATTTAATACTTTCTCATTTTAACTGTATTATTTACACTCAGACTTGGAAGTACAGTATAGCATTAAATGTAAAGCCTCTTTGACTGGCACTTAGTAATCAGAAGACATGTTTACCAAAGTTGGGTGGAAAGCATAGCTGGATTTGAACTATTCAATGCTACTTTACCACACCCTTTGCCAGCCAGCAAATAAAACTTCCAAAAGAACACATGGCTCTCACGTACAATTTTTTTAAAAGCTAAAACAGTTTAAAGTTCTTAACTGGAATATTTTTACTGTAAACTCTTGCAATGCCAGAAAATTCAGAAGAATTTACACATAGATTTCTGAAAACTTTCTACTAGAATAAGACACCAGTTTATATGAGCCTTGTGTTCAAAACAGCAGGGCCAGGTTGGCTCAGCCTGACAGACGGCTGAATTCAAGAAGCATTGATCATACTAGCAACAACATGCAAGTCTAAAGCAATCATGCAGCTTCTGGCATTGCCATCTCCCTACGCAACCTGACAGGACATTCCAAGATATTCCCTGGCATCACTCCAGCTTGTGGGACACATATTCAGTTTGCAGCAAACTTGCTCTGAGCCATGCCTACACATCAAGCTCACTTTTTAATTTATTAAAATAATAATATTATACGTTTCCTCTTTGGGGCTCAAGAGAGCATAGTTAAAACAAGGATTTGAATAAAAACCCAACAAAATGCTGGTAGCTCCAATACCATTGAATACTCTTGCAGATAAAACAATCCTACAACACTTCCAAAAACCTGTAATGCCCCCCTCCCCTATTCGGGGCCTAGCCCATAAACTCTAAGTGGGCAGCCATAGGTGTGTGTGTGTGTGGGGGGGAGAGAACAGTAGAAGGAGGCAACTGAAGGAACATAATGGATGCACAAATAACCATGGGGAGAGATGGTCATTCAGATACGAAGGCCCTGGGCTACAAAGGGCTTTTTAGGTTTTAACAAGCACCTTGAATTATACTCTGAAACAAATTGGAAGCCAGTGTGTTTGTGTTGCCTAGCCCCTGATAACTATGTTATGGGCTGTAACATTCTGAATCTGCTGAAGTTTCTGGGCTGTCTTCAAGGGCAGCCCCATATGCATCATGTAACAGTACTCCAACTGCAAGATTACAAAAGTGCAGATCAGTATGGCCAGCTCTGCCAAGTCTAAAAAAAAGAAGACATCTGTCAAATCAAATGTAGCAAACAGAAGGCACTCTCAGCCACTACAGCAACCTGATTTCTATACAGCAAGACTGGCTCCACAAGCACTCCTAAACTCTTAAGCTGATCTGTGAAAACTAACTCCACCGTGTCCTAAAAAAGGTTTATTCCCTCAAAAAATTCAGCTTTCTTAAACAGAGCCATCTCTTTCTTAACTAGCAGAACAAATTTAAAATAGATCACTTGACCAGCCAGTTTGGTGTAGTGGTTAAGAGCAGCAGACTCTAATCTGGAGAACCAGGTTTGATTCCCCACTCCTCCACATGCAGCCAGCTGGGTGACCTTGGGTTAGTCACAGTTGTCTCAGAACTGTTCTCTCAAGAGCAGTTCTCGAAAGAGGTCTCTCAGACCCACCTACCTCACAGGGTGTCTGTTGTGAGGAGAGGAAGGGAAGGAAATTGTAAGCTGCTCTGAGACCCCAAGTGAAGGGCAGAGTATAAACTCAACTCTTCTTCTTCATTACTTCAAGGAACTGATTAACAACTGAAATGACTGTATTTATGCCTGTCATTTATACCCCACCTTTCTTCTCAATGGGGACCCAAAGCGAAGTGACTTATGTTGTTCTCCTCGCCTTCAACAATCCTGTAATGTAGTTTACACTGAGAGTATGTGACTAGCCCAAGAGAGCTTCCATGGCAGAGTGGAGATCTGAACTTCAGTCTTGCAGATCCTAATCCAACACGCTAACCATTGCACCATACCAGCTCTCCATGCACAGGGAGGCTTAGACAATAAAATATTTATTTATTTCTTTATTGGATTTATATCCCGCCCTCCCCTTGATGGGTGGCTTCCAACAATAAAATACAATACAATTAAAGCAATTTAAAACACAATTTACATTTTAAAATACAAAACGGCATCGCATAATACAACTCGAGTAAGAACCAGATGACTCATTGGTTAATGATATTAAATTTAAGTTTTGCTTGGAGATCCCTAAAATTTAAGATTTCAAAGGACCCAGGCTACTGATGGAGGAACCCAAGGAGGGGGACGCCCACTGCCTCAACCAAAGGCCTGGCGGAAGAGTTCCATCTTGCAGGCCCTGCGGAATTGTGGTAAATCCCGCAGGGCCCTGATCTCGCACGGGAGCTCATTCCACCAGGCATTCCACCAGGCATATGGTACTCAGCATTCAAAGGACAACCAGCCTCTTGCTCCAGACATGCATAAGGTATAAAACTGGCTTTTGAGGCAATCCAAAAGTCAGGTCCAAAACCACTGCCACTCTGAAGGAAACTGTGTGAAGGAAACGGTGTGTCCTATCAAACAGAAGAGAATGAAACCACTACAGGGCTACTCCTTTCATACCAAGCAGATATTTTACTAAGAATGGTGTGATCTACCGTATCAAATGCTGCCGTCAACTGTCCAGTTTAACCTGAAAACAAAAATCATTCAGCAGTCCAATTCCAAAGCCTGGCCTCAAAATGAACTGAAATATGCTGACGGCAGATGCAGCACTGACGTTCTGAAGTTGCTCTAACACCATACAGTTCACTGCCTTTCTCAGAAAAGATAAATCGGAAACAAGTCTACAAGTGGCCGCATCATCCTTGAGCTTATTAAGCAGAAGTTTTATGTTTGATTCCTTCAGAGGCTCAGTGAAAACAAAAAAAAATTTCTCATTAGAAAGCATGCTTATGGTGAAACTACTCCAGTTACGACAGTTTGCAATAACAATGCTACTTACTGATTCAAAAAATATTTCCATCATCCGAGTTCTCTTCTCTTCAATGCTCAGCCCCCTTTTCTTTGACTAAACAGAAAAAATGCAACAATCTAAATACTGCTGTCAAACTTAACATATTGCTTTGTTAACTCTAGAGAGATGCCCTTCATGGGACTTCTCACATAACCCATCCTCAGTGTTCAAATAAACAAACAAGCAAATACAAGTGCATAGATTAAGGTAGGTAGCCCTGTTGGCCTGAAGCAGCAGAACAAAGTTTGAGTCCAGTGGCATCTTTAAGACCAAAAAAGTTGTATTTAAGGTATAAGCATCTGTGTGCATGCACACCTCTTCAGATAAGACGTGGCAGAACAGTCCCGCTCTGGCCTGCAGGCCCTGTTCCTCCCTGCCCTCCAAGGTATTCCTAACACCTGGAGAGGCTTTTCCACCATCACCTGACCTTTGGAGGAATCGCCCACTGGGTGGGTCAGGACTCCCAGCTTCCCATCCAAGTTCTGAGTCCTTGCACTGTGTCTCTCATTGCCCAGCACCTGGTCACCATGGGGGCAATTTTCTGTCTTGTGCACCCCTGGAGGAATAACCACTTGCCAACTGGCTGCCTACCTCCTGGTGCTTCATTTAACATAGTGTGTCCAAGACGGTGGAAGTCTATGGAGTACAAAGAACTACTACCAGGATCAACAGTTATAAAGTATTTATTGAAACGAAAATGTTTACAAGCATACTTTTACCACAGCACCAGGTTGAGCATGGGATTCAAAAGAAAAGGGTAAAACACAATTCCTATGTCCCTCACTCTATACATGTTCTTTCTGTTGTTAAATATGAGGCAGGCTCTTTAGCTTAGAAAGTTACAGATCTCTACAGCATTCCCATTACTTTGAAGGCTCCATTAGGCCAGCACATGGCTAATGGTCACCTTCTCCAGACCTCAGTTGAGAGTTCTGTCCGCTTTGATGGAATCAGCACAAAAAGGACCTCCTCCTTGCTACAAGGAGTTTTTAGCATATCTGCTTCTCCACCCACTGACCAGGACAGGCTGGGTCAAAAAAGCTTTTCCTGAAGAGGTAGCCGTGGTGAAGCTGGAAACCATTGAACTGACTTCCCCCTCCCTACCTGTTCTCTGCTCAGAGAGAAAAAGGCGCCACTGGACTCAAACTGTTCAAATACAAGTGCAATATGCAATGTTATATATCCCATCCCAAGGAAAATCACAATTTTTTTACACATCTTTCATTTATGCAGACTGCACCACTTCCATGGACCTACAACTTCCTCCAGTTTTAGTATGCACAACTAAGAAATCTACATCGGCTGAGTACTGTTGCCATGTGACGTGCCAACTGTGTACTTAAGCAGCACAAAGCAGAGAAATATTACTGCTTTTAACTTTAAAATGTGCAGTCTTTTATATTTTTAAGAGAATACAGTAATAACTATTACATCTTATGCAGCATATTCCACATCTTTCTGGGAAAAGTGCTGCTTAATATATACTGTGCATGTAACTGTATATACCTCTTTCAACTAGAAAAGAAATTTTAGTAAACTTTTTAGATCACAACAGTTTGGTCTATTAAACATGCTTTGTGATCTTTTGCCCACTCTTAGGCCGAATCCAGACATTTTAGGTGAAGGTGTTGATTCTCTCAGTTAAGATAGATGACAGGAGTTCATGAACTGTGTCAGAAAGCATGGAAGAAGGCTGACATGACGTACCTGTAATAGGTGGATAGTCCCAGGTTTCCCCAAGATAGGAAATGTATAGTTGACCAGAGAGAAGTACTACTGGACATGTGATTGCACTGGAGGTTCCATTTGTATTTTTGCCCAGTGGTTAAACTTTGGAACAATTGTTTTCTGATCTTTATTTCATATTTTGTATATGTTTGATTGTATATATTTTTACATATTAGCCAATATGTTCGATTTGCATTAGACCTCTGAGGAAGGCCTGTGAAGGCCGAAACGCGTTAGGTCTATTTTATCAGCCTTTGTATTTTTATATTTGTATATGAGGTATGAATGGGCCCTTATTTGTTATTTTAATTTGTGTTTAATAAATACATGTATATTTTTGTATGTTTCATAATTAGATTTTTAGAGTTGGCCCTCTTCTATTCTTGACTAACCTTTTTAGGTTCTGAATTCTAGGTTTATGGCAAGAATACTTCCCATGAGCACTGATCATTGCAAATGTTAATCTGTACTGCATGGTATAAAGGATTGGGAAAAGGTTCCCCTGGAGTTTCAGAAGTTTCTTATCCACTAAGTCATTTCAAGGTTCCTAAATGAAAGCCTCCTTCCTCAAATTATTATGCATACCTTTCAAATGCCACAGGTCAAAAAGATCATGGGACTGCTGAGGTGGATTTTTGAGGTCGCGAGCTCAACACATCAAATGCTGGTGGTCTTATACATAAATAAATATACTCTAAACACAATATATATTTACAGTGAGGTAAAAATCCCATGACTCAGTTCACCCTAGCTGTGGGATGGGGGGGAAAGGGCTACTTTCTTACTGCAAATGGTCACTATCTTAGCAAAGTCTGGGACTCTGCACTCATTGAAGGTCTTTAAACAGTTTTGCACAACTAGTTAATGGATTGTATTTTTCTGTATTGAGTTGCCTGCAACAACACCTCGGGGCCGCGGTGGATCAGAGGTTAAGACGCTGAACTGCAGACTGGAAGGTCTGTAGTTCGGCAGTTCGAGACCCGAGTGCCGTATGTTGGAGTGACCTCTCGTCTCTGACTCCAGCTCCTGCCAGCCTAGAAGTTCAAAAGCAAGAAACTGCAAGTAGATAAATAGGTACTGCTTCGGTGGGAAGGTAAATGTGTTCTGTGCGCCTCAGCGTTTAGTTATGCTGGCCACATGACCACAGAAACGTCTTTGGACAGCGCTGGCTCTTCAGCTTGGAAACGGAGATGAGCACCGCCCCTTAGAGTCGGATTCGGCTGGCTTTCAAGCAGGGGAAACCTTTACATTTACCTAACAACACTTCACCTTATACTGCTTGCATTTCACAGACCCTTCGTTCTATTTTTCCCCCTCTACCTTCTACATAAAATGACAGCATAGGGAGGATTCCTTGCATTTGAATAAACAGGGTCCAATCCATCAAAGTTTATGCTGGAATACACATATAAATCTTTTAAGATTCCACTAGACTCCTGTTTATTTTTGCTACAATAGATTAACATGGTTTCTTCTCTGGAATTACTACATGAAGAATATATTGCTGTGACAGCCTTGGGGAATGAAGAATATATTGCATGAAGAATATATTGCTGTGACAGCCCTGGGGAATGTCTTATATGGTACTTATTCATCTGGAAGAGTCTCAAACCACAGTGAAAGAAATCTTGACTTGCAGCCACTGTCTATTTCCTCACATCAGACTCAGCAAAAAGGCATAAAGCAGTGTGTGATAGCTTTGAATAAACTCTAGCTTGCCCATCTCCCATGTTGTGCACCTGCACTGGTGCTGCGAAGCCACTGGCTCCCCTCTGCAGGCCACCCTGCCCCCTTCCCCACCTCAGTCAAGAAGGTAACTGCATTTCCCTCACATCAGTCTCTTGAGCAAGAAAGTTACATAAACATGTCAGATATCGTGATAGAATGCGATATTTTTAGCCAACAGAGTGCTACTAAACTTTCCTGGCAGCACTGACTAATTAATTATTAATTAATCGTATGGCTTTGTGCGTGATACAGCCAGGAGATCCAAAGACTGTCTGGCAGCCTTAAGTTCTAACTCTTTTACTGAGCTAGACTTATTTTTTGGTGGGCTGAGAGAGCTCTGAGAGCTGTGACTGACCCCCAGGTCACCCAGCTAGCGTCATGCAGAAGAGTTGCTGAACTGAACCTGGTTCTCCAGATTAGAGTCCACTGCTCTTAAACACTATACCACGTTGGCTTTCACAATACTGACACATATAAATTCTATCCTATTATGGTTTTACGTGTGGTTAACAGAATACCATAGGAAGTAAGAGGTGCAAAGTCACAAGAACTCAGCTGCATAGCAACTATCTGAGCTGCTAACAACAGGACTGAAGAGTGTTTGTTGACCTCTTCAAATAGTGGTTTTCAACCCACTCATCTATATATGTGGGCTAGTCTGCAGTCTAAAAGCAAGGGCCTGGAGGTGCATCTGCAACTGTACTGACTCTGCTCACAGAAGATTATTTGAATGCTACACTGGGGCAATTGCAAGTGTACAGAATCATGTCCATTTCAATGGAACTTGCAGATAAGGTATGCCATCACAAAGGTTGCAGGGAGTACAGAGCTGAACATTTGAACAGTGGTCATTTGCCCACATAAACCAGTACCCTGCTGTCTATGGCTAGGGTGCAAGCAGATTTAGCACACCCCCAGACCAAAGGCTTAATGCAAATTAATTTCCTCTAAAGAACTAAGGATGCTTTTATTTATTTATTTTTTGGATTTATATCCCGCCCTCCCCGAAGGCTCAGGGCGGCTCATAGTTTTAATCTCATAGTTATAGTGATATGGACATTACTAACGCAGCAAACTTTTTCTGACATAATCCTCCATGTTTAATGCCTATGTAACAAATAAAATTAGCAAGTAAAGCTTCTCTTATCACTGCACCCACTCTGATGAATAAAAGTTCAGATGCTGAATGCCTGCCTTTGTGCAACTGTTAAAAGCAGTAGAAAAAATTCACCAAAAACATATTTGAAAAACCTTGATATTGTAAGCACCTAATAATGCTTAAGTGGTAAGAATGTCTTCCCTGCACATAACCAGCGTAATATGTTATAAATGTGCTTTAAATTAATTTTGAAGAGTGGACAGATACATAGTATACAAGTCTAACAAGAGCTACTCACCAGTCCCCAGATGTGAGCACAAAAAAGAAAGAGATAACCATGACCACATGGCCCTCTGAAGGCCATGTAAGCTGACCACTGTTAGATACACAGCCTTGGATTAAATGCACCTTCATTTGATTTAACAATGCAATTTTTTTGCTCTTAGTTTAAGGATAACAATTATTCCAGCCTGAACTTATGAATGAATGTTTAACTGAGAACTAAGCTCCACCGTGTGTAAAGAATTGCATCTCTAGTTCACAGGGGTGTGATTTTATGTACCCAACGCAGAACATAAAGGCTGCTAGGTAAAAAAAAGAGAGTGCAAAATCCTATTTTTACACTGTCCAATCAGATGCCTTCAGAACACCCACAATTATGAAGGTAATAGCACTTCTCCACTGATGACCCTCACAAACTGGTATACAGTTAAACAACCTCTAAACATGAAAGCTCTATTTAACCACCATGGATGCTGAATTAGATGGTCTGATGCAGTATGGCTTCCCGGGACTGAATAAGACATTGCCTTGCTGGGTCAGATGAAGGTCCATCCACAGCCCACAGAGAAGACATAGTGGCAAGCAGGGCTATTTTTGGGCAGGAACACACAGGAACGGAGTTCTGGCTGGCTTCAGAGTTGGCCACGCCCACTACAGCCAAAACCTCTGTGAAGTGTAGTGTGCATGCCTGGCTACAGAGGGAAGGCCTGGAGAGTGAACCCTCCCCCCCACGACTCTAAGGCGGGTGGGCCAGGGGGGCCCCTAGAAGGATCAGGGAGGCATTTAAATGGTATGGCCTAATATGCTAATGAGTTGTGCTGTCGGGGTTTGTGGACTATTATGATAATGAGTTCCTGCTGGGCTTTTTCTACAAAAAAAGCCCTGGTGGTGTAATGCTCCCTCTAAGCTGTGGAGTCTTGTGAGCAAAAATTCTACTTTGGGAGCTACTGACATTAAAGTTGTGAGCAAGCGATTTGGCTACTGCATAAATTAGTTTGCTCTGGAGCCATCCTTTCTGAGCTAACACAAAAAAGTGTGAGCCAGAGGCTAAAAAATTGTGAGCTAGCTCACACTAACTCAGCTTAGAGGGAACACTAGTGGCAACTTATCTCCTGTCATGTGTCCTGACTGTAGTGTAGGTGTGCAATTATCTAGAAGAAGAGGCATGTTGTAGAGTATGGGATTCACAGTAGTGTCACAGACATGATTTATGCCCAGGTGAGTTCCTTAACACTTCATTTAACAGGCTGGAACTACCAGTCCTCAAGTTGTGTTCTGGAGCCCTAAGCATCCCAGCCTGCTTGGTTGTTGCAAGGATAACACAGAGGAAGGAAAAACAACATACACCACCCTCAACCCCTTGAAAGAAGAACTCCCTGCAAGCAGAAAACCAGCACAAGGAAAAAAATAGCAAGGAAAAAAATAGAACAAGTCGAGGCCCCCTCCCGCTGTACTAGTTTTCTTCTTGCATGGACCTCTCTTGCAAAAAGGCACGTTCAAAACGGACACCCACCCCCTTGAACCCTAGGCCCATCCTGCCATCTCATGCTTCTGCAGGGGAGGGAAACTGGCCCCAAGTGCTGCTCACAAGCCGGGTTGCGAACAGTCCGGGAGAAACATGCCCTGTCCTCCTCATTCAGGCTTAATGCGTTGGAGGACAGCCGAACCTTTTCATGCCATGAAGCCTCTATCAAAGCGACAGGGCATCTTCTCTCTAGGTTGTTAACAACCCTTTCTCTCCCCCCCCCCCTCGGGTGACGTCCCCCCGGCCAAACGCTCGCCTCTTCTGGGCCAAGCCCTCCGTTATCATCACGGGGTGCACACTGCCCGTGCAGAAAGACCGCCTCGTGAGAGGAATTCCCTCGCAGACGCTCCCACTCTCCTTCCACTTCCCGCCCGTAGCACCTCTTTCCCCGCCACCCTTTCAACGAGGCGGGGAAAGAGGAGAAAGGGCGGCAGGGAGGCAGGCGGCCGGGCGGCCGCAGAGACCCAAACAAACACGGCTCGCTTACCATCTCGCTCCCTGACCGGCGCCAGGCGGGAGTTTGAGAGGAAAATGCCGCGCAAAAATCAAACCCTACTTCACTTCCCAGCTAGCAGCGCCTCCTGGCGGCCTTTGTGGGACTCGCACTTTGACCGACTTGGCCGAGCTCGTTGACTCCGCCCTCTTCTCTCTCTCTCTCTCTCTCGCTCACACGCCCTTCCGCGCTACCATAAAGACAGTACTATGCTAGACAGAACATAGCCGTGGCTTCCGGTGGCATCAGGAAGGCGCTGTTTGGCCTGGGTTGTTTGGGGGGGGGCTCAGAAGCGTTGCCGCTCTAGGCCTTGGTGTTTCTGTCGTGGAAATTAAGAGTAAAAAGCCAGTTCAACTTTAGCCCGGAAGTACAATTGAGAACTGTGTATGTGTAATTGTAACCTCCCCTCTCTTCTCTGTCCTCCGTCCGGTTTGTCACGTAACTTCCATTTCTTTAAATACCCTCTGCAACTGGATTAGCCTTCAAAATCTACGAAGTTGTCTCAGCCCGTTTTAACGTAGTCTTTCCCCCGTGGCCCTAGAGTTCAAGGGTGGTGTTAAGCAAGCATCATATAATAGCGCTCAAATTGCTTGCCAGGATGTCACTTTTTTAGCAATTCAAATTGTAGTAGAACCATGTTAGATTATTCATCAATTACAGGTGCTACGAATGAGTTTTGCATAGAAATGTCGTAGTCATGGACTCTTAAATCCTGCGAGCCCTTGCCCTCTGTTGTAAGCGTGTGGGTATTTATGGAGCTGAAGTTTCACTTTGTGCGGCCGGTGATGTGAAGAATTTTTGTGACACCTTATACTTATTTTTAAAAAACTCGGTGTACACAGCATATAAAGCTTGGCTCAAAGAAGAATCTAGGCAGAGTTCAAACAACGGGTAAGTGGAGAAGAGGTGGATGGTAACTGGAAGTAAATGCAGAGCATGTCAGCAAATCTTTCCATTAAACAGCATCAGTTGGCTAAAATTCACAATCTGCCTTAAAAAAGGAAACTAACTAGATGAATAAAAGGATAGGATCCCCAAATCTTTAAAAAAATCACTATTTTAGAATGGTTTTTTTTTGCTACTTTATGTTTTTGAAAGCATGAAAATGTTAAGTTACAGCATGTGTTTGTCAAGAAAACAGGAATGTATATTATGCTAATTTACAAATTTGGTTCTGTAACCTTTATTGTCCATTAGCATTTGTATAATGCAGTGGATTGTTCAAAGTACATACATTACCTAGTACTGTAAAACAGTAGAAAAGGGTAAAAGTCCAGTAGCACCTTAAAGACTAACAACATTTGTGGTAGGGTATGAGCTTTCATGAGTTACTGCCAGTGTTCCCTCTATGCTGAGTTAGTGTGAGCTAGCTCACAGTTTTTTAGTCTCTGGCTCACACATTTTTTGTCTTTGCTCAGGAAGGATAGCTCCAGAGCACACTCACTGATGAAGTAGCCAAATCACTTGCTCACAACTTTCATGCCAGTAGCTCACAAAGAAGAATTTTTGCTCACAAGACTCCACAGCTTAGAGGGAACATTGGTCACTGCCCTTTCTTGAAGACTAACAGAGGCTGCAACCACACACTAAATAATCCACTTTCAATGCACTTTCCAACTGGATTTTGCAAGTTCACAGAGTAAAATCCAGTTGGAAAGTACATTGAAAGTGGATTATTTAAGTGTGTGTGACCATAGCCAGAACTGAAGAAGTGAGCAGTGACTAACAAAAGCTCCTACCCTGCCACAAATTTTGTTAGTTTTTAAGGTGCTACTGGACTCTTGCTCTTTTCTACTTCAGGCCTCGGTTCCTGCTGGAGCTCACCAGAGCACCGCTTCGCCAGTCAGGAGACCAGGGGGCGGGCACATAAGCCCTGCCCCCTGCTCCCACCAGCCATTAGTTGGGACACGGGGGGGGGGGGGGGCGAAACGTTCCCCACCTCCCTGAGCCCCGGGGTGGTGGCCTTGGACTCGCAGGGGCAAATTCCACCTCACGCGATAGGTCATTCTGGCTCCCCCAGCTCTCGGGACGGGCTTTTTAAAAGGTTATGGCCGCCGGCACTGTTTTCGGCGGCGGCTGCAACGCCCATGGGGTGGGGCTGAAATGTTCTTTTGCCTCCCTGAGCCCCGGGGTGGTGGCCTTGGACTCGCAGGGGCAAATTCCACTTCTCACGTGTGGAATAAATAAAATAAAATCAGCGACCGCTTTTGGGACCCCCCCAAAAAAGCCTATACATCCCAGAATGCTCTGCGAGTGCTCGATCCACACGCAAGAGGTCATTCTGGCTCCCCCAGCTCTTGGGAGGTGTTCTTTAAAAAGTTACGGCCAACGGCGCTGTTTTCGGGGGCAGCTGCGATGGCTGCAC